GATCGAATTGGATTAAAACCAAAGCGTGCAATGGCACAAAACGTATACTGTAGCAGAAATATGCACGGCTAATAATAATAATAAAAATAATAATATTTCTATTGCGCGATTTTACATATGTATAAGATCAAGTGCGCATTACAATTACAGCCGGAACTGGCATGAAGCAGACCGAGGTAGACTGTGAGCTTACAAATAACGCTTAAGCAGCCGCTATTAGTCCATACTGGTTTTCCGTGCAAGTTATCCGTGTAAGATGATACTTTCTCTGATAAATAAATAAGTGTTTATCTAAAAATTATGTTTTTCATTCGATTTTCTGTCTACGGTAAGACTAAAAATCAAGTTTAACCAATAATATTTGATTGGCAATTTTATATTTTTACATTAAGAGAAGATTGCGCTCAAAATTATCCTCAGACCTTGCGCGAAAACGAGGGAATTTGTTGTTTTTGTACAAACGGCGGCGCAATATTGAATTCCGAACGGATGATTGCAAAAATTTTGTGAGTAAAAAGCAGTCAAGTTAAAAATAAATACTAGTGATAGAGTCTTCATAACACGTTTAGCATGTGTGAAGCTTCTACAACTCTCATATGGCGATTTTGTAATGAAACAGGCGTTTGTAGTTTTTGAAAGGGTAAATGTTCAACAGGAAAAATAGCCAAGTTATGACCACTAATCTTGCTCTGTTTTCGCATTGGACAGTATCGTGTTACTGGCAAAATTGTCTTAAATCAACTGTACTTGACTAGATCTATGTAGCTGCATTCAACTGGTGTGTGCATTGTAATTTAAAGTTCAATCATTGTTCATTTATTTCATAAAAGTATTTTGTCTCGTTTTCCTTCCCGCTGTATTGTGAATCCCTGTGTGTATATTAATAATAATAATAATAATAATAATAATAACATTTCTATAGCGCATATCCATTGCTGTTCTATGCGCTTTACATTGTAAAATTAAGTATACAGTAGTTTACATCTATTATATATGTATAAGCTATAATATTAAAATTCGTCTTATAAGTCCCATATGTCTATATATGCATATCTAAAAAACTAGTAAAAATATTAAAATAAAATCTCTTATAACTGTAAGTCATATGTCATAAGCTAATTTAAAAAGATGAGTCTTTAATTTGGATTTAAAAGTATTAATGTCAGTTATAGATCTAATATCCACTGGCAGTGTGTTCCAAAGTTTTGGGGCAGTTACCGAAAATGCCCGATATCCATAGGTTTTAAGTTTGTATGGTTGTTCTGTAAGACGCCATTTATCTGCTGATGAGCGAAGTATTCTTGTTGGTTCATAACGGCATACAAGTTCTTGTAAATATTTAGGAGCAATGTTATTTACTATTTTGAAACACATTAAATTAATCTTAAAAACTATTCTTTCTTGAACTGGCAACCAATGTAGGTTTCTTAAAGTTGGGCTGATGTGGTCATACTTTCGCAAGCAAGCTATAACCCGTGCTGCTGAATTTTGTACATTTTGCAGTTTATTGAGTTCATACTTAGGTAGACCATACAAAAGTGAATTGCAGAAGTCTAATCTTGAACTGACAAACGAATGAACTAGTACTTCCGTTGTGTCCGCACTAATATACTTTCTGATCTTGGCTATGTTCCTTAAGTGATAAAAAGCTCCCTTGACCACTTCATTTATGTGAGGTGACATTGTCAATGTTCTGTCGAACGTTACTCCGATATTTCGTGCTTTTTCACTAGATTTAATGGTGTCAGATCTAACAGTTATGTTTGGTTGCAACGAAATCTGTCGAAACTTCGAGTGGAGAACAAGGAGTTCTGTTTTGTCAGTATTGAGTTTTAGCTTATTAGCAGACATCCAGTTGGTGATATCAGCTAGACATCTTTCAACCCGACACGTCGCCAACGAGTGTTCAACATCATTATTGAAACCAAACGTGGTATATATTTGATTATCATCTGCATATAGATGAAATGATATGTCGTGTTTTCGCATTAGATTTCCCAATGGAGACGTGTATAGCAGATATAATAATGGTCCCAACACCGACCCTTGTGGCACCCCGTAACTGACGGGATGAACTGATGAACTGCTCCCATCTATTTTGACAAAATGTGTGCGGTCTGTAAGATACGACCGAAACCATGCTTGAGCTTTTCCCTTTACACCAAAATTTGACTGCAATCTGTTTAACAAAATGTCATGATCAACAGTATCGAATGCACTTGATAAGTCCAACAATAGAAGAATCACACATTTGTTGTTGTCAATGGCTTTCAAGATGTCATTCTGAACTCGAACAAGTGCCGTTTCGCAGCTGTGATACTTCTTGTAAGCCGATTGGAATATCTCATTTAGATCATTTGTGCAGAGGTGATCCCATAAACGCGAAGCTGCTACTTTCTCAATAACCTTCGATAAAAATTTCAAATTAGAGATTGGTCTAAAATTTGAGAAGCTTTCAAAATTCAAAGTTTGTTTCTTTAATAACGGAGATAGCAACGCTTGCTTCATGGAAGTTGGCATTATAGTGGATTCAAATGAGAGATTTACAACTCGACAAATGATGGGTAGTAAATCGGTGATGCAATTCTTGAGTAGTGACGCAGGCACTGGATCCAAACTACACGATTTGGTTGATATTTTGCCAACAAGAGCCGATAGTTCTTCGACGCTTGTTGGGAAAAGTTCAGTCAACTGATTATCAATAATCATTTCATCAATCTGCTCAAAATCAGAAGAATCAGCGTTAGGTAAATCATCAATCTCTTGTCTTATTGCCACAATTTTTTCAGAAAAGAAGTTGGCAAATGAATTGCACAGTTCAGCGATAGAATTACATGTGGGATAATGTTTTTCAGATTTGCGGTGCAACAAACGATCTATTGTATTAAACAAAACTTTGTGATCCGACTTGTTTTCAAGAATAAATGCAGAGTAATAATTCATTTTTGACGACTTGATGATATCCCTTACCCGTTTGCACTGATCATAATACTGCTGTTTATCCATATCTAATCCAGACTTACGCCAACGTCTTTCAAGTTGACGACGCTTGCATTTCTCCTTAGAAATGTCCTCAGTATACCATGGTGCAGACGGTCGTGAACTTACTATGCATGTTTTTAAAGGTGCATGGGAATCGACAACCTTGAGCAATTCACTGTCATATTGGTCACATAAATCTACCACATTACACGCTTCCGAGGTGAATAGTGCGCATTTAATTACATCATTTCGAAAAACTGCTGGGTCTACACTGCGAAGTTTGCGGTATTGTCTCTCTTGCCTTGGTAGACGTGGTTTAATAAGATGTAATTTTGTATGGATAACTTTATGATCAGATAGTTGAGGGTCCATGGATGACCAGCTGTGAATCATATCCTCACATGACCTAGTAATCACAAGATCCAAGGTGTGATTTGCTTTATGAGTTGCACCAGTTATATGCTGCTTTAAATTGTAGCAGTCCAGTAAATCAAGGAATCTTGCAGCCTGAGGGTTTGTGAGATCATCAACGTGAAAGTTAATATCTCCTAGCAATACGAGTTTGCCGCTGGATGCAGCAAAATTCATCGAAAATTTGCCTTGAAATCATAAAATTTGCCTTGAAATCATATAAGGTAACCCTACAGCTGAAACAAAGTGAATTTCACAACAAAAAGATGAATGAACTAGAAACAGCTAGTCAAAATGATTTTAACCTTTTCTGGAAAACACTAAAGAACTTGACAGACGACCTTAATACTGAAACTAATTCTGAAAACTCACCAAAAAATCATGAATGGTACTCACATTTTGAACAACTACATTGTGATCACCATCTTGGTGAAGAACAAGAAAAAATTATCGGAAAATTGAAACAAAAGGAAAATTCGAAAAATCTCCTCAATGAGCTTGATACGGAAATAACAATTGAAGAAATAATAAAAACAGCTAAGAAAATAAAATCTAAAACAGCTGCACACTTAGATAAAATCAACAATGGAATGATAAAATATAGTGTTGATATCCTTGCCAATGGTTTTATAAAAGTATTCAACACAATAATGAAATCCGGAAAGTTCCCAACGTTATGGTGTGAAGGACTTATCTCACCAATTTTTAAATCAGGGAACAAATTAGACCCAAGTAATTACCGAGAATATGTGTATCAAGCTCGTTAGGAAAGTTCTTCTGCTCTGTCCTCAATGAAAGACTGATGAACTTTTCAAAAACTAAAGAATTGTTACACCCTTCTCAAATTGGTTTCCTACCAAATAACAGAACAGCCGATCATATTCTTACCTTAAAAACGTTGCATGATAAATACGTTAATCAAAATAATGAGAAAATTTACGCATGCTTTATTGATTTTAAAAAGGCCTTTGATTCTGTCTGGCATGAAGGTCTTTATTTGAAACTATTAGAAAATGGAATTGGAGGATGCTTCTATGATCTGATAAAGGATCTGTATTCTAATACTCGGTGTGCAGTGAAAGTATCGGGTCATAGAACACCCTTCTTTTCATACAATCGAGGTGTACGCCAAGGTTGTGTTTTAAGCCGCCTTCTCTTTAATCTTTACATAAACGAACTTCCTAATCTATTTGAAAAAGTAAACCCAGACCCATTTCTTTTACCAAATGGAACGAGGCTAAGTAGTCTACTATATGCGGATGATCTTGTCATACTATCAAGATCAAAATCTGGTCTCCAAAATTGTTTAGACTCCCTCAATGAATGAAGCAAAAAATGGCTAATGAATATTAATTTGAAAAAAACCAAAGTTATGATTCTACAAAAACATAACTCTAAACTACAATCACTCGACTTTTTCTTGGGAGATAAACGTATTGATATCACAAACGAATACACTTATCTCGGTCTAAAACTGACTCCTAACACTAAATTTTCAGTTGCGACTCAGCAACTCAGTGAAAAGGCTATGCATGCCTTATTTAAAATACGGAAAAATCTTGATTTTCAGAAACTTACACCAAAACTTGCCATAAAAATCTTTGATGGCATAGTCTCTCCAATCTTACTTTATAACTCTGAGGTTTGGGGAGCCTATGGTAACAACGATTTCACTAAATGGGACAAAATTAGTACTGAGAAAACACATCTGAAATTCTGCAAACTCTATTTAGGTGTGAACAGGAAAGCGAGCAATGTCGCTAGTAGGGGTGAATTAGGTAACTTCCCTCTGTTAATCCCCATATTCAAAAGATTATTTTCTTACATTAACCATCTTAGTCAATTACCAGATACAAGTATAGCGAAACAAACTTTTTACCTATCAAAGAGACTTTACTCAAACGGCAAAGATTCATTCTATTCTAATGCTGCAAGCATTATTAAAAAGTTTCATCCCGATATCGAAGATACAATAGATATTGAAAAATTTGTTCAGGATACAAACATACACGATTTTGTAAAAACCATTGAAGATAACTACACGACATTTTGGAAAAACCAAATTAAAAACTCTAGTAAATTGTCATTCTATTCTACATTTAAAAACCACTATAACTTAGAAGAATATCTAAATATCATTAAAGACCCTAATCAAAGAAGACTGTTCTCAAAATTTCGTATAAGTAATCATAAACTAGAAATTGAGTTCGGACGTTATAGCGATGTACCTCGACAGGAGAGACTGTGTAAATACTGCAATAAAATTGCAGTTGAAGATGAATTTCATTTTTCATTTGAATGTGAAAAATATGAGAATTTGAGAAATAACTCGCACAACATCCTAAAAGACTATTTCCATATGAGCATCACTGATGAATTAAAGAGAAAATTATTAAGTGATCTTATGTCTTTGAATGACCCTCTGATAACAGATCTTTTTCGGAACATATTTCGAAATGTTTTTATATCAGAGACAACAGCCCTTAAACAAGAAGTCACAAGTTTCTATATATTATATAACTTTCCTTTCCCTTTTTTATATTATCCTCTTTCTAATCCTTTCTTAAATTTTGATATTTGTTCTGTCATATCATGATATATCCTTCATATCTGATATATTATACATGTAAATAGCGGTATATTGTTTTTAGTTAGTTAAAGTAGTTTATACACCAGTTAACATTTATATACACATACTATTACGCTTAGCAATACCTGTAATTAGGTCATGCAAATAAAGCTTATTAATAATAATACTCTTCAAAACTGAGAATTTACACTTCAGAACTTAGAATTTACTCTTCAAAATATAGAATTTACTCTTCGAAACTTAGAATTTACTCTCAAAACTTAGAATTTACTCTTCAAAACTTAGAATTTAATCTTCAAAACTTAGTATTTACTCTTCAAAACTAAGAAATTACTCTCCAAATCCTAGAATTTACTCTTCAAAACTGAGAATTTACTCTTCAAAATTTAGAATTTACTCTTCAAAATATCGAATTTACTCTTCAAAACTTAGAATTTACTCTTTAAACTAAGAATTTTCTATTCAAAACTTAGAATTTACTCTTCTGAACTTAGAATTTGCACATCAAAACTTAGAATTTACTCTTCAAAATTCAGAATTTACTCTTCAAAACTTAGAATTTACTCTTCAAAATATAGAATTTACTCTTTAAAACTTAGAATTTACTCTTCAAAAGTTAGAATTTACTCTTCAAAACTTAGAATTTAATCTTCAAAACTTAGTATTTACTCTTCAAAACTAAGAAATTACTCTCCAAATCTTATAAATTACTCTCCAAATCTTAGAATTTACTCTTCAAAATTTAGAATTTACTCTTCAAATCATAGAATTTACTCTTCAAATCATAGAATTTACTCTTCTAAACTTAGAATTTACTCTTCAAACCTTAGAATTTACTCTTCAAAATATCGAATTTGCTCTTTAAAACTTAGAATTTACTCTTCAAAACTTAGAATTTACTCTTCAAAACTTAGAATATACTCTTCTAAACTTAGAATTTACTCTTCAAAACTTAGAATTTACTCTTCAAAACTTAGAAATTTCTATTCAAAACTTAGAATTTACTCATCTCAACTTAGAATTTGTTCATCAAAACTTAGAATTTACTCTTCAAAACTAAGAAATTACCCTCCAAATCTTAGAATTTACTCTTCAAAACTGATAATTTACTCTTCAAAACTTAGAATTTAATCTTCTGAACTTAGAATTTGCTCATCAAAACTTAGAATTTACTCTTCAAAATTCAGAACTTACTCTTCAAAACTTAGAATTTACTCTGCAAAATATAGAATTTACTCTTCAAAACTAAGAATTTACTCTCAAAACTTAGAATTTACTCTTCAAAACTAAGAAATTACTCTCCAAATCTTAGAATTTACTCTTCAAAACTGAGAATTTACTCTTCAAAATTTAGAATTTACTCTTCAAAACTTCGAATTTACACTTCAAATCATAGCATTTACTCTTCAAAACTTAGAATTTACTCTTTAAACTAAGAATTTTCTACTCAAAACCTAGAATTTACTCTTCTGAACTTAGAATTTGCACATCAAAACTTAGAATTTACTCTTCAAAATTCAGAATTTAACCTTCAAAACTTAGAATTTACTCTTCAAAATATAGAATTTACTCTTCAAAACTGAGAATTTACTCTTCAAAACTTAGAACTTACTCTTCAAAACTTAGAATTTAATCTTCAAAACTTAGTATTTACTCTTCAAAACTAAGAAATTACTCTCCGAATATTAGAAATTACTCTCCAAATCTTAGAATTTACACTTCAAAACTGAGAATTTACTACTCAAAATTTAGAATTTACTCTTCAAATCATAGAATTTACTCTTCTAAACTTAGAATTTACTCTTCAAACCTTAGAACTTACTCTTCAAAATATCGAATTTACTCTTTAAAACTTAGAATTTACTCTTCAAATCTTAGAATTTACTCTTCAAAACTTAGAATTTACTCTTCAAAACTTAGAATTTACTCTTCAAAACTTAGAATTTACTCTTCAAAACTTAGAATTTACTCTTCAAACTTAGAATTTACTCTTCAAAACTTAGAATTTACTCTTCAAAACTTAGAATTTTCTATTCAAAACTTACAATTTACTCATCTCAACTTAGAATTTGCTCATCAAAACTTAGAATTTACTCTTCAAAACTAAGAAATTACCCTCCAAATCTTAGAATTTACTCTTCAAAACTGAGAATTTACTCTTCAAAACTTAGAATTTACTCTTCAAAATTCAGAATTTACTTTTCAAAACTTAGAATTTACTCTCAAAACTTAGAATTTACTCTTCAAAACTTAGAATTTAATCTTTAAAACTTAGTATTTACTCTTCAAGACTAAGAAATTACTCTCCAAATCTTAGAATTTACTCTTCAAAACTGAGAATTTACTCTTCAAAATTTAGAATTTACTCTTCAAAACTTCGAATTTACTCTTCAGATCATAGCATTTACTCTTCAAGACTTAGAATTTACTCTTTAAACTAAGAATTTTCTATTCAAAACTTAGAATTTACTCTTCTGAACTTAGAATTCGCACATCAAAACTTAGAATTTACTCTTCAAAATTCAGAATTTACTCTTCAAAACTTAGAATTTACTCTTCAAAATATAGAATTTACTCTTCAAAACTTAGAATTTACTCTTCAAAACTTAGAACTGACTCTTCAAAACTTAGAATTTAATCTTCAAAACTTAGTATTTACTCTTCAAAACTAAGAAATTACTCTCCAAATCTTAGAATTTACTCTTCAAAACTGAGAATTTACTATTCAAAATTTAGAATTTACCCTTCAAAACTTCGAATTCACTCTTCAAATCATAGAATTTACTCTTCTAAACTTAGAATTTACTCTTCAAACCTTAGTATTTACTCTTCAAAATATCGAATTTACTCTTTAAAACTTAGAATTTACTCTTCAAAATATATAATTTACTCTTCAAGACTTAGAATTTACTCTTCAAAACTTAGAATTTACTCTTCAAAACTTAGAATTTACTCTTCAAAACTTAGAATTTACCATTCAAAACTTAGAATTTCATCTTGAAACTTAGAATTTACTCTTCAAAACTTAGAATTTACTCTTCAAAACTTAGAATTGTCTATTCAAAACGTAGAATTTACTCATCTCAACTTAGAATTTGCTCATCAAAACTTAGAATTTACTTTTCAAAACTAAGAAATTACCCTCCAAATGTTAGAATTTACTCTTCAAAACTGAGAATTTACTCTTCAAAACTTAGAATTTAATCTTCTGAACTTAGAATTTGCTCATGAAAACTTAGAATTTACTCTTCAAAATTCAGTATTTACTCTTCAAAACTTAGAATTTGCTCTTCAAAATATAGAATTTACTCTTCAAAACTTAGAATTTACTCTCAAAACTTAGAATTTACTCTTCAAAACTTAGAATTTAATCTTCAAAACTTAGTATTTACTCTTCAAAACTAAGAAATTAATCTCCAAATCTTAGAATTTACTCTTCAAAACTGCGAATTTACTCTTCAAAATTTAGAATTTACTCTTCAAAACTTCGAATTTACTCTTTAAATCATAGCATTTACTCTTCAAGACTTAGAATTTACTCTTTAAACTAAGAATTTTCTATTCAAAACTTAGAATTTAGTGTTCTGAACTTAGAATTTGCACATCAAACTTAGAATTTACTCTTCAAAATTCAGAATTTACTCTTCAAAACTTAGAATTTACTCTTCAAAATATAGAATTTACTCTCCAAAACTTAGAATTTACTCTTCAAAACTTAGAACTTACTCTTCAAAACTTAGAATTTAATCTCCAAAACTTAGTATTTACTCTTCAAAACTAAGAAATTACTCTCCAAATCTTAGAATTTACTCTTCAAAACTGAGAATTTACTATTCAAAATTTACAATTTACTCTTCAAAACTTCGAATTTACTCTTCAAATCATAGAATTTACTCTTCTAAACTTAGAATTTACTCTTCAAACCTTAGAATTTACTCATCAAAATATCAAATTTACTCTTTAAAACTTAGAATTTACTCTTCAAAATATATAA